ATGACAAATGTGATCAGCAAATGGCCTCACTCCTTGTGATGGCTCAGTTAGTTAGGATTGATTAGGGCTCCTGCTTTACTCCTTTTTTCTTTCTGCAAATGATCCTGTAGGCTCTTTGTTGCTAGGAAGCTTTCCAAGGAGATGGAAGGCTTTGCTTTTATTAGTTCTGGGGCTGAAATGAGATGTTCAGGCAATTTTGGTTTTCTCTACCCACCTCCACCGCCACATAACACGTGTTTGCACACACATGCACACACTCAGAGATAACGTACTGTAACCTAGCCTCAGGAGTGCCCTTCCCTTTCAGGCACATCGGTTGCTACCTCACCCGCTCTGACATTAGTCCCTCCTAACACGTTTTCTTGAGTATGTATTGTCTGTCATTTTCTTCCAAATCATCTAGAATCTGCTAAATAATGTCTGTTTGAGAAATGCTTCCTTGGCTTTAAAAAGTGCCAGTGATATGGGTTTGGTGTATGTTTTGAATATCTATCTGGCCAGGAAGGGAGGAGAATGGGCTTCTGAACTGTAACCATGGTTCTTGGGGCCCAGGCAGCTGTCAGGAGGAGTGTGATGAGAGAGTCATTCATTATCAAGCTAAGGCAAAACAGGTGCCTTATGTGTAGTGATAGATGAGAAACTGGAAGTCTTGGCTTTGGTAAATAAGGGGTGGGATGAGGCAGTCTTTAAGATGTTAGAAACAAGGGGCACCTGGGCTTAGTCAGTTAAGCCTTTGCCCTCGGCTTAGGTCATGAACTCAGTATCCTGGGATCGAGCCCCGAGTCAGGCTCAGTGCTCAGCCAGAAGTCTGTTTCTCTGTCTCCCTCTGCCATGCCCCCCTCACCTTCTTGTGCTCACTCTTTCTCTATCTCAAATAAGTAAAATCTTAAAAAAAAAAAAAAGATGTTAGAAACAAATCTATTAGTGAATTGAATGCAAATTAGTGTTATTCAACCTAGTCACTAAAGCGAAGTAGCAGGTAGGTATATGGTACGGAATTATGCATAGACCTTCATAGGTGGGTCCCCTTCATGGCCTGGACCGCTACCACCCTGCCTTGGCCCAACCCAGTTGGTGCCTGTGCTTTGTTTTCTAGGTAGCTGATTTGGACAGTCCTAATTGGCTTATTAATTACTATAGAGACATTTTCAGCTGAAGGTTGGCAATGACATGGGTGAGGTTTACCTTTGAAAAATTATATTTTGCTTTGCAAATGTGCAGCTAGCAGCTAGACAAGAATTAGTAAGACCCCTCTAAGTAACTAAATGTGTGAGATATTTTGTCTGACTAGACTAGAAATAGAAAAGTTTGCTGAATTAGACTTGAGAACCAATCCTAATTAGACCTTCATGAAGGTCCACATTTGGAAATGTGATGGTAGGTGACTTACCTCAGGTCTTACAGCCAAGTTCTCTCAGAGTCTTTTGATGGATACCCAGGCTAGTGACCTCTCCACTACTCTGTGCAGGCTTTGTGTGATTAATACCCTCTTGGGAGCATGCCTCAGGCCAAAATCTCAGAGGTTTGCTTCTAGGCCCTGCTGTGTCCAGAGTAACTGCGGACTCGGGTTGTTTGTAAAAATCCTGGCCCTTCCCTGTTTGGGAAGTGATCTGAGCATACCTGTCTTGTCAGGATGTGCACTGTGTTTGAAGTATGTTTTCTGGATACTGTAATGAAGCCCTAGTGTTTCTGTAGTTTTCACTCTTGTAGGATAGAACCAGAGAAGCCATGTATGTATCTTTCCATGTCTCCTTCATGCATGCTTAATGTATGTGTGCTTATACAGTAAAATAATCTCATGACTCGAGGTCAGGTCAGTTCCCAGTCTTGATAATGCTTAACCATGTTGACAACAGGAGTTAGGGAGCAAGGGCAGAAGCCTTGAACCTAAGGTAGCTTTTTAATGACCTTGCTAAGACAGAGCTGTTCTGTAAGAAGTGCTACAGCACAAGAAGTGTCGAACGGGAAAGTGATGGTAACTAACCCTGTTTGTGTTGCAGGCCGTCCGTGTTCATAGAGGATAAAGCAGTAGACACTCTGGCTTATCTTAGCGACGGGGATGCCCGAGCTGGACTGAATGGACTACAGCTGGCAGTGCTGGCCAGGTTAAGCTCGAGGAAGATGTTCTGTAAGAAAAGTGGGCAAACCTATTCTCCCAGTAGAGTTCTGATCACTGAAAATGATGTGAAGGAAGGCCTCCAGCAATCTCATATTTTATATGACCGAGCAGGTAAGTAATGGAAAGTGAAAAGAGGGGAACTTTAGTAAGTTGTGTCCACACATTCCCATCCCAGGCTTCTGACTTTCACCTGAATTCAAAACATGAACTTGATTCTCAGTTGGATCTCCATATTGTTAATTGAATTAAACCTCCAACTCAGAGCCTGATTTCAAAGACCTAGCTTCCTGAGCGCTCTTTCTTGTGAGAGGCACAGAGCAGAAACTGTCCTGATAAGAACTGAGAGGAGTTTTCGTGTTTAAAACTGCAGGCTTCAAACTTATTGTAAGGTAGATAGGTATTTTTTCCATTACTCTCTGGTAGTGCCTTTTAAGATACACACATTTTTGAAAGCCCCTGCATTCACAGTTGACAGTAATCTTCGTGATCACTTATAATGGCAGTAATAACAAGAAGACTTTTGCAATAAGTGACTTATTTCTATTAGTTGAATGAGAATTAAAGGCCGTGATTTCTACAGTCCCAACTAAAAATGAAGTTTATGTGGATCTTGATGTGATGTTTTTGGTTGTAATAGCTTTTTAAAAAAATTAATTTTGCTGTGTACACTTACCTGTTTTTGTAGAACTGCATTTACAGGTAACAGATTTGAAACAAACTCTTATTAGATCCATGACCTGGCAATATTAAATGTCATAGGCACAGCACAGTTGTAAATTTTTATAAGAGGGATGGGTGATGAAGATTAGCGTATGGTAGATTGGGCTGGACTCTGGGGCTTGAGTATTTGATTCTGGGTAGAGTCATATTGCAGTAACGGGAATAATTTCCACATCTTTATTTTTTTTTTAAGATTTTATTTATTTATTTGAGAGGGACAGTGAGAGACAGAGAGCACGAGAGGGAAGAGGGTCAGAGAGTCAGAGGGAGAAGCAGACCCCCCGCTGAGCAGGAAGCCCAATGTGGGGCTCGATCCCAGAACTCCAGGATCATGACCTGAGCCGAAGGCAGTTGCTTGACCAACTGAGCCACCCAGGCGCCCCAATTTCCACATCTTTAAAAGCTGTGCCAGAAAAGGAAGCTGATCATTGAACATTCCAGATATCACAGAGGCAGTACTTTGTCTACAGTATTCCGAAATGCTTTTTGATGATGAAGAATCCTTCTTAACTGGTTAGAGAAGGGGGTGGGGGAGCTTAAGAATGACTTTGGGTTCCAGGCACTGCCTCCTGATGAGTTGAACAGAACACTCTGTGACTTTGGGGAAGTGGCAGAAGCTTGTCAGCATTAGTGTGCCTCAGCTGATTGAGAGCTGGGTAGGTGGAGGGTACTAGTAAGTACTACGGACACATTAGCAAGGACTCCTTAAAGGCATATAACAAACAGTCCTGGCTCCTTTCTGATGTGAACGTGCCAGTCGGCAGGACCTCTCCTAGCACAGCCCAAAGATCCCAGGTAGCCAGCTATCTGTACCCCTGAATGTCAGGAATGCTGGGAAAGTCTGAAAAGTAAAGCGTTCTGGACATAGAGCTTTGCTTTACTTTTGGCCAAATACAAGAATGGAGGATATGAACAAAATTGTAAAATTTTAAGAGGTAAAAATAACTCCCATGTGCTGGACTCTCCACTGTTTCTGGGGGTTCCAGCAACAGTTGTCTCTTTCCTTTGTACGTGTCCTAAAGGAGACTCTTCATTTTGACTAGATGGACTGGAACTGTTCTTTCACGTTTTATCAGACTGTCATTTAAAAATCAAAAGGCTACCATTTAACATAACATCAAGTAATACTGAATATTTGAGTATTTTACATATATTGTCCTTTTTTTTAATTTTCAAAATAACCTTAGGAGGTAATTATTAATATTATCTCCATTTCACAGATAAAAAGCTTGCCTTAGTTCACAAAGCAAGTGGTAAAACTCATGGTATAAGTGGTATAAAACTGGTATAAAACTGGTATAAAACCCCAGGTATAAGACTGGTTCCTAGGACTGCGTCCTTCCCCACTCTTGGTGCTGCTTCCACGCCAGCCCCGGCCTGAAGTCACCAGATTCCCACCAGAGCGTATTCACTCACACACAGTAACACACACTCACGTGAGTGTACTCACAGACACCCATACACACACAGTGGATATTGGACATGTCTAGTCCTAGGGTTTCTGCTTCTCGAGGCTCACATTCCATCCAGGGGAACCATGCACAATGGGGATCACTTTCTCTATAGCCCTGCACTGCCCCAGGAAGAGCTGGGGACAGTGGAGGCTGCCTGGGGTCGGGCCTTGAGAACCCACACATTCTACAAGTCTGACATTTCATGTGACTGTGCCCCCCCACACTACCCTACTGTTGTGTAGCAGTACAACCATGGATCTGTAGACACTCATAAATACAGTTCAGATCCTAGAGAATTGTTCTCTTCCAAGCTGTGTTCTATAAATAGGGATGATAGAAGCATTGCCCTGGAAACCTGCTAGCTTATACTCCTGGGTCTTTTTATAACTCTGGTGAGACAAAAATCCCCAGTCCCAAGATTTTAATTATTTCTTCTAATGTCATCTAGGATATAGTTACCCACTTGTAGGATCCAGTAACTAGCTCACGTATTTCTGTATCAGAGTGAAGAAATTTCTAAATGAGAGCAGGTTCTCTGCCTTGCATTGAGGTCAGGGTTCTATGTAAATAATGTGAAATTTTAGGTTTATAAAAAAGTTATATGATAAAAGCAAAAATGGAAGCTAGCATAGAGTAATATCTAACACTTACATGTTTCTGTAGTGCTTACTCCATACCAGGCATACATTATTTGAGACTCAGAATCCTAAGAGCCAGCTAGTCTTTAATCCCCATTTTACAAATGAGCTGCCCGAGGCATAGAGAGGATCAGTACCGTGTTCTTGGTGTCGTGGCTAAGAAGTTTGGCGCTCACACCCAGGCTACCTGGCTTTAGAGCCCATGCTCTTCACTGTTATTTGCCTCTCAGTGTCGACCTGCAGGAAAGGTATGAGACAGTAATGTTTGTGTTGGGGAGATTTGTTGCCACCTCCTTATTTACATTTCACAGAAAGTGGAGCAGAAATGGCTTCTTTCATCTCCCATATATCTACAAGGTGGCCAGGCCTGTGAATGGGGCCAGGACCTTGTGGATTTCACCTGGAACCCTTTCCTAGCCTGTCTCCATGACACTGTGACTTAGCTAGGAAGCCCGGAGATAGATGACAAGTCCACTTGTCTACAGGAATCTGCTGGCTGGACTGAAAACCACTGATCTGCCCTCTTCCTGAATGGAAGGTGCTCAGGCCCCTGCAGTCAGCCTCCTGGGTCTTTCTTCCCTGGCAGGCCAGCATCTTGTCCCATGCTGTCTTCAGATGAAGGCCAAGGATGGTCTTACCAGCATGGTCAGCTGCTGGGACTCATTCCTGGGGCCCAAATGCTGTGCAAAGCAGGTCATGGTCTCTCTGTCCACCTTGGTGCTTTCTAGGAAGGACTAATGCGAATAAGAGTAACTCCCCTGCTTTCTTTCATGAAGAGACTATTCTCTCCTCAAACTTAGGAAAGAGTTTGTGATCAGAAAATCATGAAATTTCTCTTTAAAGCACATTTCACTGATTTGCTTGCATGTGAATCCTGGGTGAAAAGTGAGGGGAGACCCAAGTGGTGAGGGAGGGGCTGCCAGAGCTTTCAAGGTGAGAGCTGTTAGCTCCTGTGTCGGCCCTTCTGGGATCCTGCCACATGGACGTCCCCACACCAGATTTAAGTGACTGCAGCCTTCAGATACCAGAAAGGCCGCTGGAAAGGACACTGAGGAACAAATGGACCATCCGTAATAGCTGTCCTTGTCACTGACTCTCCATCCTCATGGCTCCAGCCAGGGCCCCGGGACAGTTTTCCTCAAAATGACAGTAGGGGCACATGGAAACGGAACATCAGATCAGTCCCCTCCATCTCTTGGCTGTGGCAACCCACCGAGGTCCAGGAGAACCAGCTCTCCACATGAGGCTCTCCTTGCCTCCCCCGCCACCCCCCGGGTCTTGGCTCGGGTTCAGCATGGGCCGCGCAGGTGCTCCAGCAGCCTCCTGCTCTCAGGCTGACTGGGTTACTAGATAGGCCCACAGGCCCCACATGGAGCTGCTCTGGTCTCCCCAGCATCCCGCAGCCGTGGCACCGTGCGCGCCCACTGAGCAGCTTGAGGACAGCGGTCAAACCTCACTCTCCCCTGGCTTTCCTAGGTCCCTTATTCAGGCTTCCTTAAAATCAGCCAAGTGAAACAAACCTATGGCTTAGATGACCCGCCTGTGAGATCTCTGGGTTCCCTCTTCTGGCCGTAATTGAGCACGTCCTTTTTGTGGTATCTAGGAGAAGAGCATTACAACTGCATCTCCGCACTTCATAAGTCAATGCGGGGCTCAGACCAGAGTGCCTCCCTCTACTGGCTCGCGCGCATGCTTGAAGGAGGAGAGGACCCGCTGTATGTGGCCAGGAGGCTGGTGAGGTTTGCCAGTGAGGACATAGGTGAGTGTTCTGGGAAGGACCAGACCCTGTGTCCACAGACGGTGGGGTTGCATGCGGGGGGGGGGGGGGAGGGCAGGAATGCTACTGCTTTGGGGCCTAGGAATTTCTTGGTACCATGTGGACAGGGAAGGAGAAGAGAAGAAGACAAGTATGAACTCACTGGTTTATTTCTCGGCATTGTGTATGTGCTTTTGAGGGGTTGTATTCCTGAAGTCATCATTATCTGTTTCCTCTTCAGGAGTGCTTTTCCTAACATGGGCATTGAAATAAAAAATACTTTAAATGCTTTGCAGTCACATGTTCAGGTTTTCATTGGACAGCTTTGGAGAGCTTCTGAAATAGAAATGGAAGATTCTGGACACTATATAAAGAAAAACATTAGAAAGACATTTTTTGGTGTAGTAGATGTTTTGCTTTTAATGTGTCCCTGTGCCTGTCCGTATGGCCTTGGCTCCTCACGTTTGTCATTCATACTCTCGTATTTTTCCTGCTAGGTGTAGTTTTTATCCATGAGGAAAGAGTTCTTGACACCACTCAGTAAATATCAAATAAGCTAGTGAGATCAGAGAAGAGTCCGTTTTGCTAAATGGGATTTTTGTGGTCAGTAACGTCTACAGGCAGCGGTGATCTCTGGTCTCAGCAGCTCGTAGACAGGTCAGGCTGGGAGTGTGCGTTATGACTTAAACTTTCCTTTGTCTTTCCGTGTGTGTGACAGGTCTGGCAGACCCTTCTGCATTAACACAAGCAGTTGCTGCCTACCAAGGCTGTCATTTTATAGGCATGCCCGAATGTGAGGTAAAGTAATCAGCTCAGTTCCTTGCAAATCAGTTCCTTTTTCTTGTGCCATGTCCCTTTGTGGATTTGAACACATGTCCTGCTATCACCTTTAATGTCCGGGCCCACCAAAGAAGCTGCTTGGCTTTTTAACTCCCATTTTAGAAGCTTAGACTCTAGAGAGAGGGGAGACCTTAGGTATCAACAAGGTCATGTTTTGAAACTTTTCAGTAGTTGTGGTTTCAGAGGAAGTGCTCAGCCTTTCCTGGGGGCAGAAGTATTGAAGTGCTGAACAGGAAGTTTCTATAAGTTCACCCACAAACAGAGCAGCTTCGTGTTTATGTTTTATATGTTGGGGTTTTAAGAAAAAATTCATTTAATAAAAGTTCTTCTGTTTAACAAAAAAAATAAATAAATCATTGGTCTGGTTCAACCTCTTGCCTCCTGTAGGAATTTCTTCTCTCCATCACAAGTGGTTATCTTGATTATAGGCATAAAAGGGGGATAACAAAAACATATTGGGAATCTTTTCAGAATTAAGTAGAGATGTCATAAGATATCCTACAGGAGAGAAACTTTCTGGCACCTTCATAATGTTTCCTTTTTGTCCTAGGTGCTTCTGGCCCAGTGTGTAGTCTATTTTGCCAGAGCCCCCAAGTCCATTGAGGTGTACAGCGCCTACAACAACGTCAAAGCATGCCTGCGAAACCACCAGGGGCCCCTGCCCCCTGTCCCGCTGCACCTGAGGAACGCGCCCACCAGGCTGATGAAGGATTTGGGCTACGGCAAGGGCTACAAGTACAACCCCATGTACAGCGAGCCTGTGGATCAAGAATACCTGCCGGAGGAATTGAGAGGAGTTGATTTCTTTAAGCAAAGGCGATGCTGACTCTCGTAGGCTTTGACAGCAGATGGATAGGTCTGTTTTTTTAAGGAGAGCAAGAGTAACTGAATTGTGAAGTCGGTTGCCTGGTGGAAGTTAAATGAGACCAACATTTTGTGCCAGAAATGTCAAGAGTTCCTTAGGTGGAGGCACATGTACTTCAACTAAATGTGTAACATTGAAATTGTGTTCATTTGCACTCTGTGCAATGGTTATGCTTATGAAAATATCTGGCAGCTTTGTGCAATGAATTAATGTTATAAGGAATTATCTATTTTGTCATAGTATTTAAGTCATAATGTCATTTCAGAATTCAGTTCTGTAGGATTTTTTTTCTTTAAAAGATGTATATTCAGGGTAGTTTGAATTGGTAAAAAAATGTAATTGTGATTTAATACTGCATAGTGTTTTGGGTATTTTTTTTATATGCAAAGGTCTTATGAGCCAATAAAACTATTTCAAAGTACTCTTCAGTTCTTTGACGTCTTTCCCACCTGGGATCCTAGCTACCAACATCTGTCACCGTCACATGTTGGTAGGTAAATACTGTGAAAGAAAACTGCCCATAGGTGAGAAGGTTGGAAAGCTTAGTGAGAAATCTGGATCTTTGTAAAAATCCATTTTAATTTTTAAAGGAATACATAGAGTTTTAAATGGCTTATAGAAGAATCCAGTAGTCTGTTCATTCCTCCAGTTTCTTCTTGCAGGTCCGTGTTTCTAAATGATACCCTCCTGTTTTACTTTTGTGATTCCTAAACATAAATACCACACACACACACAGCTTTGTTTCCTTTGCAGCTACTGCTAATTCTTTCCAAACTACTTAATAGTCATCCACAAGGATTGTCCAATCCAGTAATGTGTCAGTTCTGTTTCCCTCCCCCCCACACACACACAGCTGATGCCCTGGGACGTGCTCTGCCTTTCTCCTACATGAGGATTCCTGTTTTCTCCATAGAATACTCTGCCGTCTGGGTTTATTCCATCATTTCTGTACAACACATGCTTTGCTAGTTTTACCAGGCTGGAGCAACAATAACCTCACACTCAGCAGGCCTGGTGTGCAAACTCCCCTCCTCAGTCTGGATATCTTCCTTGTACCTGCCTCACAGGTTCTGGTTGCAGGGTCCAATGCTTGCCTTTTTCTGCTGAGGGGATCCACATGCTTTAGGAGCTTTATGGAACAAGGGTGCATGGGAGACAAAGTATTTTTAGATCTTAAGAGTCTGAAAATGCTTTTAGTCTACTTTCAGACTTACCTGACAGTTTGGGAATAAATTCTAGATTGGAAGTTATTTATCAGTTGTCTCCCTCTTGCCCATGTTGCTATTGAGAAATTTGAAGACATTCTGATTTGTGACCTCAGCAAGTTGATAGAATCTTCTCTCTTTGTTCTAGTGTTTGAAAAGCTCACAGTGATTTTACCAGGAGCTCGGTGGATCCTTTCAGTCTAGAAATTCATGTCTTTCAGTTTTGGGAAACTTTCTTTATTCATTTAATAAGTATTGGGTACTTGCCTCATGCTAAGCACTCTTGTTGGGAATACATCAGTAAGAAGAATATCCTGTGCTCATGAAAAAGATGGTATGAAAAATCATATTTTAATATGTTCGCTAATGATGAGTGCCATGGGGGAAATAATCAGGGAACCGAGCTAGAAAGGGTGGGGAGATGTCATGATTTTATTTGGAGTAGCCAAGGTAGACCTCATCAAGAAGGGAATATTTGAGTCAAGAATTAGAGGAGTGATTATGCCGTTCAAAGATACGGGAGATCATTCCAGGCAGCGGGAACAGCAGGTACAAAGGCCCTGAAGAAGGAAGGTGCCTGGCCTGCTCAGTGCTACAAAGGAGGTGAGTCTAATTGGAATGGAGGAGGGAAGGAAGTAGTGGAAGTTGAGATGATGGGGGTTTGGGTTAATGTGTGGGACCTTTCCAGTCCTGGGAAAGATTCGTTTTTACTCAAGGATTCTAGCAAAGGAGTGTCACAGTGGCACTTGTATTTTGTAAGGATAGCCATGCCTGCGTTGTTGAGGAAAGGCAGGGCCGAGCAAGGAGAGGGTAAATCAGAATTTGCAGCGCTCTAGTGGAGGAGGTGACAGGATTGGTGGGAGCAGGCATGGGTGAGGAGGGGGGTGATTAGCATTATGCTTGAAGGGAGAGTGCATTTTCCTTACCTCCATTTTCTCTGAGGCTGGTTGGCCCTCTTGAACTGGTCTTTGTCTATGTCTTCCCTCCTTATTTCTCATCCTTTTGCCTTTTTGCTCTACTTTCTGGGAGATGCCTCAACTTTATTTTCATCCCTTAACTTTTACCATCATCATGTTTTAAGTTTCCAAGAGCTCACTTTTAATGTCCTCCCCCCTTTTTTTAGAGTAGATGGTTTATTTGCTTACTCGTTTGTGTGAAGACTGCTTATCTTACCTCCCTAAGGATATTTTGTTTTTAATTTTCTCCCTACATACTCTCTTCCTTGTTACTCCTTTCTTTCTTTCTTTCTTTCTTTCTTTCTTTCTTTCTTTCTTTTTCTTTTTCTTTTTTTTTTTCTTTCTTTCTTTTTCTTTCTTCCTTTTTCTTTTTTTTAATCGCTTTCTTTCAGACTGAAAGCTCTGAGCCTTTGGTGGGAGTGGACTTTGATTCTTGCTGAGGCATTTGTTGGAAATCCTTAAAGTCCGTGTCTTTAAGCTGGTTAGGTAGGGCCCCAGAGAAACTCTTCTCTTCTGCTGAGTAGGTCAAGGTTGGCTCCCTGCATTCTGGATGCCATGTAGGTGGTCGTCATACAGCAATAGGTGTACCTATGTCCCCTTGATCTCTGAATATGAATCAGCCAGGCCCCCAGCTCTATCTGGGGTCTAGTTTAGAGATTCCCCAATCACCTGGAATAGGAGAGCCCTGCCATTATCCAAGCCTTTGAGACATCTGCCACATGGATCAGGTGGGTTCTTGCCTTTCCCCACTGGGATCTCCCGAGTCAGTTACCACTTGCCCATCATCTTCCCAGCCTCCAAAATTGTGTTGCCATTATCGCTTGTTCTCTGCCATTTTAACGGTCGATGGCTTTTAAAGATTCCTTTACTGTAGTGTTTTGGGGGAGTGGGGATGCTTGAGAGAAAAACATTAGACATGGGTTTGATCCATCTTTATGGATATTTTGGATATAATTCAATGAAGATATTAACAGCTCACAACCACAAGAAGCAATTCCTACTCAAGACCTGAGGAGGCAAGGGGAGGGAGCTAGGACTGCCTTATGACCAGGACCACGGCTCAGCAGCTACTGTACGTCTTGGCAGAAATAGGGGAGCAAAAGGTGGGAAAAGGAAATGAATAGCCTGACCTCTCTCCTGCCCTCTGATCCTTTGCCGGTGCCTCCCATTGGCAGAACCTACCAAAGTTTCCCTGGTTAGGAAAGCAGCACAAGAAGGGTGGAGAGCCGATTTAAAGGAATAAGTGATGAACACTTAGAACGGACAGATCTCTGAAATAAGAGATACAACTACTGTATTTAAAAAGAAAATTCTGTGTGATTATATATATGTCTTGAGAACCAGAGAGAATAGTTTGAAAAACTAATAATGAAGTCCAGGAAAACGGTCCAATGTTAACAATACGTGAAAATTAGTAGATTCCGGATGGTTAACTATAGTCAGAAAATATACCAAGAAAAACACCCTGGTCTAAGTAACAGCCTGGGACTGGACCTGAGTCTCTGAGGAGCAGGAGCAGAGTGAAGAATGAGACCTAGAGAAAAGGTAAACAAAAGGAGAGGCAAGCTTTGTTCCTTAACATAGTTTTATCATAAATATAACTTATAAACACTACTTGTTTCCATATTCCCATCGTGCTTGGCATTTAGAATGTGATCAGTACATATTTGTCAAATGATAAGAGTGAATAAATAAACTTTCACCAAGCCATTTATGTCGATGTCTTCAACTAGAGGTCTGTCCTTGATACTGCCGTCCACCAGGAGTCAGGCTTCAGCCGTGACAGATGAGCCAACCTTTCAGCACCTCCTCCAAGCTCTCCCCTGGGACAGGTGGCCGCACAGCCAAGACTGGGCTCACTATTTGAGATTAGCCTCATACACTAATAAACAGGGTCTTTTTGTTTTTGTTTCTGTTTTTAATAAACAGGTTTTAAAAGAACTTATTTGTCTGATTATACAAGTAGCCAGTAATCACTGCAAAAAAGGTACAAGAAGGGAGACGGCAAAAGCAAGTAAAAATTAATAATAATAATAATAATAATAATAATCACCTTCAATCTTTCCTCAGTGATCCCCAGTGTTAACATTTTAGTAGACGTCCTCTGGGTATTTTTCCAACGTGTATGTGCGCGTGAGAACTGGAAGCATACGTCATCTGCTCTACAGCTTGCCTTTCTCTCACCTCACCACATGATTTTTCACATCTCGAAATTAGTCTCTTAGCATCTGACTTTTAATGGCTGCCTACAGAGCCCCCCGGGGGCCGCACATGGCGTGTGCCCCCCGCCGCCGCCGCTGTGCCATCCACGCAGGCCATGACACGGTGGGCGCCTCGGAACGGGATTAAGTAACCCCCGGAGAAACATACCCTGCGGGCCTCCAGCCACTTCCTCGGAGACCTTTGCCAGCCCCGGACTCTCGGCCCGGGTTCCTTACCCCCGGCTCGCCCGCTCCTCCCCCGGCCCTGCGGGCCGCGCAGTCCGCGGCTGGGGAGGGAGGGAGGGAGGGAGGGAGGAGAGCAATGGTCCGATCGCGCACCAGCAGCACCCCCTACCTGGTGCTCACAATCCTTCCATGCTGGTTCTCTGTTCTCAGTGTGAAAACAAGTCCATGATCTGACCCCGACCTCCCGCCCAGCTCCACGTCGCCCTACACTCTTGGCCCCCAGCCCCCCACCCCGGGTTCTTTCCGCCCCTCCTCCAACTACAAGGGTGAAGAGCGTGACCCAAGGGACCTGTCTGCTTGGGCTCGAATTCTCTCTGCCACTTCTCCACTATGTGACCTGGGTCAAGGTTATTATCTTGTTCACGTTCCTCCTCTGTAAAATAGGGATTAAAATATTATCTAATCAGGACGGGGATCACCTGATTTAAAATACATATCGCTGAGAGCATGGTGGGTGCTCATAAAGAGCTAGCTAGGAGCCTCACTCATTCGGATCTCAGCTGAAACATCACTTTCTTTGGAAAACCCTCGGACCCCTCAGGTCCAGTGAGGTCCAGGAGAGGCTCCCACAGCCCAGGTACTTTCGCCCGTCGCTCTGTGAGCAATTGTGCTTTTCCAGGGCTGCCGCGTGTGGGCTGGACGTCACCCTGTTCCTCTGGGCTGTGTAACATCAGAGGCTGGTGCCCGCCCAGCGGCTGGCCTCCTCTTTCATTTCCTTCCCTGAGGGGCTGCGCTCAACTAGGGAGCTAGCCCAGGGGCAGTGCAGGGTTGCAGTCTTCTGAGGACACTTGACACTTATTTTTGGCTGGTGTCAATAATCGCAAACATGTGTACTGACTGCTCTGTGTTGGACACTATTCAAAGTGTTTTACATTTATGATCTCAATTTCCAAAATAGCTGAGCTACTAGTGTTATTACGTCTTTTAAATATAGAAGAGGACTTGGAGTAGGGGGGCGCACCTGGGTGGCTGAGTCGATAAGCGTCTGCCTTGGGCTCAGGTCATGATCCAGAGTCCCAGGATCGGGCCCCGCCTCGGGTCGGCTTCTCCCTCTGACCCTCCCCCTTCTCATGCTCTCTCTCTCTCAAATAAATAAATAAAATCTTTAAAAAAAAATAGAAGAAGAAGACAACTTTGGGACTTGGGGTGGTTAAGTGGCTGTCCCAGGGTGACGGATCTAGGCTTGGAACCCATGTGGTCTGTGGCCTGCTCAGCCACTTTTCAGGGGATTCTCAGCTCTCCTGTGCCTCAGAAGAGGCACCTGCTGTTCTTGTTTAAACCCCGGAATTTCTATTTCCGTCAGTCCTCCATGAGCCCTAAGAATTTGTTTTTAATAAGTCCCCAAGCGATGCTTTTGCTGCTGGTCCGGGCAGACCACACTTTTTTTTTTTTTTTTTAGCATATGTATTCTTACTTTATTGAATCTTACTAGTATTCTTTAAGGGAAAAACAGACCAGTAGGCTACATTGAAGAAATCTTATTTTTATAAGAGAATTAAGAAGCCTTTAAGATACTTCCAGGTATTATCTTCAGTGATGCTTCTTATCTTTATTCTTGGACTCCAGGTAATATTCCGCCCCTACAGCTACCACAAATGCTGCAAATCCCCATTTGAATCCTTTTAGTAATGCACCAACAAAGGAAACATTGTTTGCAAAGCCACCCATGTATCTCCAAGCTTCATTGCGGCCCCATGGATCTCTTAGCCCTCGTGCAGCCAGCCTCTCCTGGACAACGGCTAATGGTGTCCCTTCTATCTTCCATTGTTTATAATCTGGAAGTTCCAGTTTACTAGGGCCGTGTTCATGCCCATGTCCGTGGGCCATGTCTGACAACAATCTGACCTCTCACGACACTCCTGGGCAGACCACACTTTGAGAGCTGTTGCACTATGCCATGCCCCCTTCCATCAATCCTCTAGGTTTTTCAGTGGCAAACACACTTTTCAGACGGAGGGTAAAATTGCCATGTTTGTCTTCCCCCAAACTGTATACCCATTTATCTTCCCTTTATCGCCCCAGTTGGTGACTTCTGAAGCCACGAGCCCTGTCCAAAGCCCCCATGCCAAATGGGCCTGCCTTCCTTCCCCCCTCACTTTTCCCTCAGCTCCTTCAAAAAGCCAGTGTGGCTGCTTTAAGTCATCCGCACCTGAAATCGGTAGGTGAGTGGGGAACAGGGCTGCTATGCGTTGTGCCAGCCAGGCAGGCTCAGGGGCAGGGCAGCTGAAACCCAGAGGAAAGGGCCTCTGTTTCTGATTCTCAGGGAGGGTACCACATGGGCTGGTGAGACCTTTGAAGGAAGACGGATTTGGGGACAAGATGATCGTTGTGCTTCTTACTCATCTTGATGAACCTTTAGCTTCTACCGAAAACACGGCTTTTCCCTGACTTGGCTCCTTCCTGAGGAATGAGATGTATGGACTACATCCTGCAGCCAGCAAATTCTCTACTTGGCTGGCCACCTCCTCACTGTTACAATGAGCAGAAACAGGTATTGTGATGAGAGAATCTCTCATTGGGCCGAGAACATGGAGACAGTCAGGACTGAGCATGGATATGGGAAGTGCGCACACACATGGGGGAGGTGCCTTGTGCCTCAGGAAGGGTTGTGCCCCGGTTAAAAGCAGCTCTGAGGAAGCCAGGGTCCATGTGGCCACCTGCTTGGGCAACCTGCAAAGTTGTAGGGCTGGTATTGCTTTACTGTGAGTGGAAGTTACATAACCGCAGCCTTATGACCACACAACGATTTTCTGAAGTAGACAGCATTTGAGTTGGAATCCTACGTCTCTTCCATTATCAATTTTTTGAAATCTTGCCCCAAGATCCCTCAGAAATGTGAAGTCTTCACTACACCAACCAGCTAGAATAAATTGCTCTTTCCTCTGCTTACATCACACCCGCCCGCCAACATTGCCTAGAGTCTGTCTTTTGGGTGATGGACGAGAAGCCTGCTGAGGGCAGTCGGAGCACTAATCATGTTAACCTCACAACATCTGGCTCCTAGCAGGCTTTCAGCAAGCATTTGTTTAGTTGCCTTTATTTGCTAGAGAAGATGGTGATATCCAAGAGTAGACATCTCCCTGTCTCCAGTGGTGCAGGTATGAACTTGCCCTAGCTCAGGGCAATGCGTCCGGCTTGCTGGGCTCCTGAAGAATGCCTGGGAGTGATGGTGTCGTTTAAGATAAGGTATGAATTTTCCATTTCTGCACTAAAAACAGAATGCATGTCCCTTTTGCAATATCTTTATTGAAGCAATAACCTGATTGCAAAGTCAGTGTTTCTTGACCTTTCCACGATGTCTTAAAGGAGCAGAATAAAAACGATATAATTAACATGATTAAGGTGGTAAATCATAAAACACATTTGGACAACTTCCAGAATCACAGAGTATTAATTAGCCTCTCTAAACTTCTGTCTCCTTATCTCTTGAAGGAGAGTAGATTATAATAATCTCTAAAAACTCATACAGTTTGCAGATACGTGCTTGTCCACTTAAAGGAAATTCCTCCTTTTGCTGATGAGTCACTCAAACAAAGTGAACGTTTGAGATCTTTCTAGAACTCTTCGATACCGGGCAAATGAGCTTTGGAGACAAAGCCATTATCCAATCTCTGGCAAGTCACATAAATTCTTTGGGCCTCTGTTTTCTCAGCTTTAGAGTGAGGGTAACAGTGGCTGCCAGGCTCACTTTGACCTTGGACGTTTCTCACGAAAGTCATTAAGACAACATAAGTCACATGGGTACTTTATCAACTGCCAGTAAACTCTAAAAATGAGGGACTGTTATTTTTTTTTTTTTTTTTGGCCACTGATAGATGAAAGTCTTAAGAAATATTAGCAAGTTTCAGAGGCCTAATGCCATGACAGTCAGATTGTTTTCATCAGCTTGCTTAATACACAGGAATGGAAGGAACTCCGAAAAACTGATAAATACGCCCCCACTCGCATGTCCTCAGCTCCTTGTCACCCTGCGGTCTCGACCACTTCCTCCCCCTAACGGCCCTGAGCAGCCACAGGTGGGAATGAACTTCTGGTCTTCCTTGTCCTTGCTCCCGATGACAGCATGAGCCCAATCTCTCCTTGCCTATCTGCTTCCACCTTCCCATTCCCAGAATCGGAACCTTGTGATGGTGTGGAAATCATGAAAGATCAAAGGAGATGAGACCTGAGCATCATATCAGGAACCTCTCTTCGAGTGTCTTGTGTCATATGAGTGTCCCAGCAGCACAGGGGGCAGAATGGGGAAGACACCACAGGTGTTACAACACTGACGTTTAGGAAATCTTTGCCAATGTTTTCCCAAGTCATGTTTGAACTGGGAGTGTCATCTGACTCCGGGGTGGACAATAAATCTTGTAGGGTTCTGCGGGACAACCAACTCTGTCTTCTCAGTCAACACTACTCAAAGTGGGGTTCCCAACCCAGCAGCAGGCCCCTGAGCGTGTGAGAAATGCAGGGTGCAAGCCGAAGGGCTAGGGTCCAGGAGTCTGTGTTTTAACAAAGTCTCAAGGGATTTTTGTGCCCGCTAAAATTTAAGAAACAATGTTCTAAGTTATTCTAGGAGACTTTGGTCCCATAATACTAGGGAAAGGGATTGTGGCTCAGTAACAGTCAGATAATATCAAATAGCCAATCAGGTTCTCCAGATTCTTCTCTATCTTCTCAGGAGCCTCCCTGGGACTTCCCTTTCTGTCTACCTAGAACCCAGAGATCTTGCTCATCTTCCCACAGTTCTAGAAAGCTTCCAGAGTGGAGCCCTAAAGGGCAGGGAGAAGGAGAAGACAGATGGCTCTATCACCCACCCCACACCCGTCTCAAATCAGTGGCCAAAAACCTGGCAGATCCACTCTGTCTCAACCCTCCTTTTCCACAACTCCAAATCTCTTCCTCGAAAGATATGTCCAGGCCACACCAAGGCTGGATGTCCCTCAACAGTAAGACTTTTACTCAGCTGTTGGTATGTCTAAAGCCCACCCTATTACTTACTGTGGCCCACCCATACCTTCTGGATTTGGGGGAAAGATACCAACAGGCCCTGGCAGAGGAAAGAGCTATATGGGACAGCCCCCACGCTGGGCCCCACGAGGCTGGCACGGGGCTGGCCACGTCTGCAGGACCGAGCACACAGAGGGGGCCCAGTTGGAACCATTAGTGGTATGTGTGAATTGATAAAATGGGCCCTCAGAGGAGAGAGAAGGAGGCAGGCTCCGTGGGACTCTGGGGCCCTAGGGCCCAGAAGCCCAACACCAAACCCATTCCTGCAGTTTTGCAGACCTGGTTTCACCCTGGCCCCCTTCATCCATGAGCTCATCCTCTATGTGACAGAAGCCCCTGAGGCTCCCTAGGTCATGATCTCAAGGTTGTGGGAACGAGCCCCGAGTCAAGCTCTGCAATCAGCGGGGAGCCTGCTTCAGGATTCTCCCTCTCTCCCTCTGCCCCTTCCCCCCAAAATAAATAAATAAATCTTTTAAAAACTCAGATTCCACTGCGACTTCAAGCTAATGCGTCCCACTTTCTTCAAATGAACCCCACCCCCGGCATCCGAATTTTGTTTAAATGTCCTCGTTTCAGTTTTTTCAGCATCAAAAAGATACTTTTAAATAGATATTTGTTAAGGTGTAAGGACACACTTGTGAGATTGTGCATAAGTAAATAATATTTTGAACACAAAATTCCCGTAAAACCCTCGATTGGCTTCTAATCCTTGAGTATAAGGCGTCGTGGTAGGGATAGCTACCAGCTGGATTTCCAGCCACATGCCCCCTCTCCCTGGTGGTGCCGGGGATGCACTCCCGGAGGTTTTCTTGGGCAGTGACGGGGGACACCTAGAATCTTATGTATACAGACTGGCCGTTGCTGTCTTCGGGGCCGTCCTGCTGCTCCACTCCGAGCATGGGACATGCAGGCAAGTTAAGGCTTCCACAGGCCCGGGAGCCCCCGCCCCAGCCGGGGAGCCCAGCTCCGTGCACTTGGCTTCACGGGGCGCCTGACCTTCAGGCCCTGACCTCTCGGCCCCGGTTCTTCCCGGAGACCAGAGAGGCGAGCCCGGGTTCCTCCTCAACCGTGGCACCCAGAGATGTGAAAATGGCTTTCCTGCTTTGTGAAGCAAGTCAGTATGAGGAAATCAGGCTGACCCAGGGAAAGACGCCAGCAGAGACAAGCCCGGAGGCTCAGAGGCCTCGGTGAGAACATTCCTGAGCGCCTCCACACCTCTGTCCTTTCGGGGGCAGCTTCAAGCTCCCAGTAATCCCCCCTTTCTCTGCTCTTCATCCGGTTCAGGTTGGACCTCTACAGCCTGCTGACTAATGGACAGCACGGGCTCAAGCCCTGGGCTGCGGGCGCTGGAGCGAGGGGTGGAGGCCTTACTCAGCTGTGACTCAGTGGACCTCCAGAGGCAGCGGGCAACGGGCGGGTCGAGGGCGGCTCTCGAAACCTCACGCCCGTTTTTATGGGTAACTTGCTCTGTCAGATTTCCTACTGAAAAAGCTCCGACTTTATTTTGAAATGGAGGTAAAGGAGAGGACCTTTGTCTCCAAGAGCTACCGAAGTCTGGTGGGGACATCCTTGTCCTTTATGGTTCTTTGAGATCAAAAGCAGCCAGGGTTGTCGGCTGTTCCCCTCTCCCACCTGCCCCTCTTCGCCCCGGGCCTGTTCATCTGTCCCTACCCCATGCCCTGCTGCCACAGTTGTTCACTGACAGGTGCCCAGGGGTGGTGAGGAGAGCCCGGGGCTTCGAGTCAAGCTTGGTTCGAATCCTGGCTCATTAGACCTACGCTCTGGACTTTGGTCTCTTCACTGGTATAATTGAGCTAATGACACCTACTTCTATGGCCAGAGAGGAGTCAAAATCATGCCTATA